CTCACTACCATCTGACTTCTATGATGGAGGTGACTCAATACTTTGGGGGCACAAAGAAAAGAGCTATAGTGGGGCTCCTGAGTGGTTTGTTGATGTTTGTTGTCAAATAAGATACAACTATATCTTACATGAAGCAAAGAGCAACTCCTCTTATCTAGCAAAAGTAGGTTCCTGAATGCAAATGAAGTATACATCAAAGTCTCTCCAAAATGAAAGAAAAGGGTTGCCACAGGAAACTAACCCCAGATTCCCGAATCTCAGAACAGAAGCTGTGAAAGTGTTTCTATTCTGTGTCTGAAATTAAGCTTTTCACTATAGAATTAAATCTTCAAGGGGAAAAGAGCAGAACAGATAGGGGAAGGGAAAAGGGGAAGGAGCCAATGTGATTGGGATCACAGGAGTTGATGACTGGTTCTTCTACAAATTTACACCCTCTAACCTCAACTTCTTCACAGCAATCTTTGAGCTCTTATTGTCTGTCACATTTCCCACAAAAATTGATCCAGATTTTCCCTTGTCCCCTCGAGTCCCCAAGTCTATTATCTCTCCCTCAGAATTAAACCTTTCCTTCCATTTTACTTAGAAGCAAGAGATTTCACTTCTCTGTGCCTCAGTTTCCTTATTTCTAGCATGAGGGAGTGGACTAACTGATCTTTAAAATTCCTTCGCACTATAAATTCTATAATCTTGTTGTAAGGGAGCTCCTCCTCCATACCTATCAATCAGTAGAGGTGCTAATGTTTTCAATGTGTATGTAAGATGGTCTGTTCTTAAGAAGAATGAATCTCAAGAATAAAAGCAATATGTGATTGGTGAAAAGAATCAGTTATGCCCATTAGGGTTGTTCGTGTGTGTGTGTGTGTGTGTGTGTGTGTGTGTGTAGGTGTGTATTCATATATACATTACATGTTTTATACATAGATATATAAACACACATAGGGTGCCCCAGAAGACTTTTTAGAAGACCCTTATCATAGTAATCAATCCATTAGTGAGTTCAGTCCAGAGAGGTCCAGCCCAAAGGTAGAAAATTTCAGTTCTGGAGTGAAGGGTTACAGTTCAAATCAAGCCCCTGAGAACGAACAGTTCTTAGAAGGGGAAAAGCTTCTTCCTTTTGCTTCTCTTCCCCAATACCACTATTGACAATGTTATCAGAAAGAAAGAAATAATAGAAGACAAGTTATCCTACCCAGAACACAGAGAGAGACTCAGACCAAGGACGATGACAAACACAGATACCAGCAGATGTTGAAAGACAGATACCTGAGGGAGAAAGCAGATTCAAGGCATGTGGCTTCTTGAATCAGAAAATAATGCTGGTTAAGGTCTCAAGAAAGGATTTCTAGTAACCAGGAGTTATCACTTTACCCTTTGGCCATGTATGTCCTCTAAACACATGTGCCTTATAATTATTGTGCTCTAAACTTAAGTCCTCTCTTCCCATGAACTATGTGGGTGCTTGTGGAAGAATGTGCCCTAGACTTTGGTGGGGAGGGAGGGGAATGTTTTGTATGAATTATTTTTAATGTATTGTTAATGCAGTAAATACAGCTTTCTAAATGCTAATTAGCTGTGGCTGATAATTGATGGGGAGTGGGAAACACACCAGGTGGGGTCTCATGAACAACAGTGTCAGGAAAAAGCCAGCCCCTCAGAACCACTGGGACCCTGAGAGTAGAAGTAGTCCATGGCTCTCTAGAGACTCAACCTGCCAGTGCTAGTGGGAATTAGGGAAATAACCACAGAGGTGGTGTTATACTATAATTCTATCACATTAAGACTATGCCACATGAAATCCCTCAACTTCCCTCTTCCATTCTTTGGAACTTTTATCCAATCATCTATCTTCTCCTCCTTCCCTCCAGTCTCAGAATAAATGGCTCTTTTCCTTACCACATCTAAACCTTCATTCTTCTCTTCTATGACCTTACTCTATCAGTTATCTCTTTCTCTTGTATAACTTAATATAGCTTGTTATTTTCTTCTCATCTACACCACAGTAACTGTTTCCTAAATGTTCTTCTTTATTTTAGTTTATCCAAAACCTTTTTTATAGAGCTTTCTAACACACCACTCAAATCACCTGATCAAAGACTTTCAATGGCTTCCTATTCTCTAGCAAGGTAGAAATGGTTGATCCTGACACTGCAGGTTTAGCTCCAACCTGCCTTTTCAACCTTATCTCATACTATGTCCCTTGAGGAATTCTCCATTCTAGACATATTAGACTTTTCTCTTTTTACTATTCTCATTCTACCCTCTCCTATTTCCATAACTTTGCACATACTGCCCCACATGTCTAGAAAGCACTCTTCTCCCATCTCAATCTATTGAAATCCCTTCCACTTCTAAGGCTGGAGTTACCTCCTCTGTGAAGCCTTGCCTTTTGTTCCTTCCATCCCTTCACTTATCATACCCTCCTTTGTGTCATAGCTGCTTGTATACAAATCTTTCCTTCTCTATTAAGAAAAAAGTCTGTTATGACTGTCTTTGTATCCCAAGTGCCTAACACAACACCTCATTTATCATAGACACTTAATATTTATTGAACTGAATTGAGAAAAATTGTTTCTTCTAGCCATAAGATTCCCTGATTCTGTGATTTATAACACTCCTTTTTTTTTTGTTTTGAAACAGTTCATTGGGTGCCATAAGACTGTAACCTGTAAGACACTTTGATTGAACATGCATGAAAGTTATTTGCAAAAAGCGTATACAAAAATACAAAGTATTTTTATCAGTTCCTATTATAATGCTAGGGACATAGTAAGGCCCTCAATGATGACATTTCAACATATTAATTGGTTACCAACTGTTTGTTTCAGATAATGGTCTTTTGTACCTATCTAAGTTGTTGTGAAAATAAAATGAGATAATGAATGGGAACATACTTGGAGACAAAAAAAAAATCTTAGAATTTTGAATGCTGCTATAGAAATTCATCCTGTTTTGTTTGTTTTTGTTTTCTCAAATTGGCTTGTGTCCATAAACTCTGGCTTGGAGAAGAGGTCAACCACATGATTTCCTTCTAGGATATTCCTTGATCTGTTGGTCTGATTTTCTTCAGTAGGATCTCCCATGCTACCATGATATAAAATATTGTTATAAAATATTCAACACTGTCAATGGCACCCAACTTCTTTAATTTCTTTCTTCTCTTGGCTTCCAGTGCTAGATCATAATGATTCTTCTCCTACTTCTTGAGCTGCTCCTCCTCAATCTTCTTTTCCTAAGAGCCAGAGTAAATAAATTAACCAAGGAATCTTGACCACTGAAGTGTCAATACAATGACAATCTACTCATTGGCTAATCACAGTTGACAGATCAGATCAGATCATGGAGTGGCATTGGCCTGTCCATTAACTTGAGCTACAACATTCCAAGGGGACAAAGTCTGAGTTAGTTTCTTTTGATTACTGCAGTTAGTATATTTCACTTTCTGTGAAAGAAACATTTAATTTAGATGGCAGTTGATTTGTGTCGTGGGATTTCAACTGACAGGAACCAAAGTTATGTGTGTGTTTACGACTTCTTTGCTTTTAAAGATTTATGCCAGGGAAACATAAATCACAGGACCAGGACTTGGGAGGAGGGGGGAGAAGGAACCTGTCATCTTGATGGATTGAGATCCATTAGTCTACATCTCAATCTGGTGAGAAAATGAGGAGGGGTAGGGAGAAGGGGTGGTCAGAATTTAGTGGGTTCCCTGTCCCCTACTTAGTGGCTTAGAGTTTTGGGAGAAATGAAGCAGCAGAGGAAACAGTAATGACTACGCCAGGAGACCTCTAATACCAGCCCTGCCGTTAATAGAAGTTAGAACTGGAAACCTTAAAAATCACTTTAGTCCAACCCCTTCAGTTTACAGTCTAGTACACTGAGGCCAAAGAGGGTAATTTTTAAAAAGAAGATAGTTTTGAACCATGTACAAACTTTCAACAAAAAGAGTAAATGTCTGATGTTGTTTTGGAGGGGAGTGAGGTAGGGAGAGATTTTTAAGTAAAGGAGCCTTCCTAGGGATCTTCATGCTACCAAATATATAAGATGGGCATGTTTGATTTTCCTAAGACCTTTCAAGTTGAAAGAATAATATTCTCTTCCACCTCTTGTGGTAGAGACAATGGAAGCCCCAGAATCACTCCCCAGCAAAAGTAAAATTAGTCTATGTTTGTCCACATTTTCATTAAATGGGATGAATTTCTGAAGACCTGGAAAGTGAGGTCAGTGCTTGCCCGTAAGAACAATCCCCTGACAGTGAGGTACTAGGCCCATAAGTAGTCATCTCCAGCAGTGTCAAAGCCTGCTTCTTAACCTTGACTCCTCCCTAATCTCATTCCCACTTTGCTACTTTTATTTTCTTCTCCATTTTTTCATCTGCATCAGCATTTCCTGACTCTCATTCTTCAGATTCTCCTTTGTTAGACTAAGGCTTCACATCCTTCCCCCACTTTCTTCAGAACAGAACCAGGGGTTCAACAGTTCTGGAGAGCACCTGGTTCTCATTTGAGTTACCACAACTCTGCTCCTGCTATGCCAACATTCCTAGCAATCTACCCTCTGACAGACCACCACCCTCCTCTAGAAAATCAGTATAGTTCCCTGCCCTCTTCTTGCTCATAGGTAGGCAAAGGCTTTCACTGGTCCCTTTCCCTGCTTTTTGGAGAACATATGGATATTCCTCTCTCTTATGCCAAAGCCTAAGGAGGAGACACAGAAACTCACACAAAGAATCAAGTTGAGGAGGGAACCCCAGGTCCCCCAGAGACATAGCTTTTCAGGGTGGAAGGCCCTAAATGAGCATTTTATTTGCAGTCACAGTGTACCCACACTCAACAGTGATCTTTTCCTCAAAAGCTGAGAAATGGAGGTAATCATATCATCAACCTTAGAGAATACACTGGTAAGACTATCTGCTTCCCATGAGTACAGCTGCTAAGAAAGCAGCACCAGCTGCATCATATATCTAACTGGTCTTCTGAATTATTCCTGTATCCTCATTTTAGGTTCTCAGCCATGTTTCATGCTTGGTTGACAGCAGCTCCATGGCAGTTGGGTATGGCTCCAGCTCAGCAGGTACTAGTCTGTTTGTTGTCAGATGAATTTCTGCTTTCTGAATCCCCAGGATATTTCCCTGTTGTCAGCAGCAAAGATTTGAGCCACTAACATCAAATGTTTAATCCAGAAGGACTTCACTATGAAGACTCTACAGAGAAGGGTAGAATGGACCCTAACTTAAGAGGTTATAGGGTTATACTATGAGCAGAGAAAAGGCCAGGTATTCAGGAACTGGTTCATTTTGGCCACCCTCTGGATTTGCCTGTTGATACTATCATAGGTTTACTAAAATGAGAGGAAGGGGCACAGGAGAGACCAACTAGAACATCCCTGACGTGGTTACCAAACATGGCTAGTTTATAGAAAGATTAGAGATAAGAATAAAGGGCTGGACATACAGCGTGGTGTCTGGATTCCCTCCAGCACTCTTCCCTACCATCAGCACATAGAATCAAGGATCTAGAGCTGAAAGAAAGCTTAGAGGTCCAACCCCCTCATTTTATAGATGAGGAAACTGAGGCAAAGAGAGATTAAATAACTTGACTAAGGCCAAGTTAATAATTAACAGAGCTGGAATTAAATGCAGGTCCTTAATTGCAAATTCAGTACCCTTTCTACTATACCATGATGCCAGATACAATGATTATATTTGTCCATCTTATCAATATGAAGCCCTGTTACCCTACCCTCTCTACTGACCTCCAGTCTCCCATCTCTAATTGACCAGTGGACATTTCCAATTGGATGATCCTTAGATATCTTAAATACAACATATTCAGAATTGAATTCATTATCATTCCCCTTAAAGCCCTCCTCTCTTCCTAGTTTTCCTGTTGCTAGAGAGGATACCATCATCCTCCCAGTCCTCCAGACTCACAACCTAGACATCACTTTCTCTCATTACCTATATCCAATATTCCATGTTGACTTTACTTAAGTAAAATTTCTCAAGTATACCCCCCCATCTCCTCTAACACTACCACCACCCTTCTGCAGGCTCTCATTACTTAATGTCTGCTGGTTGATCTCTACTCCATTCCATCTTCCACTCAGGGGTCAAATGGATCTTCTTTTTTTTTTTTTTAGTACAAATTTTTTCCACCTTAACATTCTTTTTTTAAAAGTCTTTAATATTTTATTTTTCCCCAGTTATATGCTAAAAAAGTTTTGAACTTTTTTTTAAAGTTTTGAGTTCCAAATCCTATCCCTTACTTTCTCCCTCCCTCATCTCTCTCTAAGACAGTAAGCAATCCGATATAGTTTATACATGTGAAATCATGTAAAACATTTCCATACTAGTCATTTTATACAAGAAGACTTGAATTTAAAAAAAAAGAATGAAAGAGAGTGAAAAATAGCATGCTTCATTCAGTCTATATTCAGACAGTATCCATTCTTTCTCTGGAAGTGAATAGTGTGCTTCATCATTAGTCCTTTGGGATTGTTTGGGATTATTGTATTGCTGAGAATAGCTAAGTCATTCATAATTCTTCATCATACAATATTGCTGTTATTGTGTGCAACATTCTCCTGGTTCGCCTCACTTCACTTTGCATCAGTTCATGTAAGATCTTAAAATAAAGGTCTGACAATGTCATTTCCTTATTCAATAAACTACACTGACTCCCTATCACCTGCAGGACCAAATACAAAATCCTCTGTTTGGCATTCAGAGCCCTTCATAACCATCCCCATCATCTTTCCAATCTTCTTGCACCTTACCCACCTCCCCAGAGCCGATAAACATGTTCTATCATAGAGTAACCCTGACCTCCTTGCTGTTCCTAGAACAAAACATTCAATCTCCCAACTCTGGGCATTTTTGCTGGCTGTCCCCCATGCCTGAAATACTCTCTGTCTCATCTCTGCCTCTTGGCTTTCCTGCCTTCCTTCAAGTCTCAGCTAAAATTCTACCTTCTACAGGAACCCTTTCAGATACCCCTTCATGCTAATTCCTTCCCTCCATTGATTATTTCCAGTTTATCCTAGATATGGATTGTTTGCATGTACTGTTTACATATTGTCTCCCCTACTAAAGTGTGAGCTCCCTGTGAGCAAGGAGTGTTTTTTGCCTCTCTGTGTATCACCTGACATAAAGCAGTTGTTTAATAAAATGCTTTTTGACTTGACCTCTCTGGGCTTCAGTCTCCTCATCTAGAAAATGGGGACAATAATAGTTCCTATCTCTATCATAAGGCTGTTGTGAGAATCAAATAAGAAAATCAATCTGAAAATTATTTGAAAAAACATGATGAGCTATACAAATGCAAAGAATTCTTAAATTCTTAAAACGTTGCCTAAAGCTAGTTTGTCCAAAGCCTCTTGCTTACCGTAAAGTGTTGCAATCCCCTGGGAATTATTTCCCTTTGCAAGTTTAGCAAAATGGTTTATCTTCAGTCTAAAACTGTTCCATTTAGCAAGTTGATTTTATAAGCCAGACAGATTTTTTGTTCTCACTCTCTCGTTGTGTGTCCCTTGATAGTGTGTCAATGTAAAGCAGACCCTTGCCCTGTCTTTCCTGGAACCTTTTCCAAACAGGATCCTATAGCAGCAACATCCTATAGATTTAAGTCTCTCAGATAGTTCATCTGTTGGGAGTTGTAAATTGTCCAGATTTTCACAAGCCAGATCCAGGCCTTCAGTGGCAAGCTATGAAGCAGGCAGAAAAAGAACCGAAGTTTGAGTAATTAATCATTTATTAAGTACCTACTATGTGCCAGGTACTGTGCTAAGTGTGGAGAGAGAGAGAGAGAGAGAGAGAGAGAGAGAGAGAGAGACAGAGAGAGAGACAGAGAGAGACAGAGAGACAGAGAGAGACAGAGAGACAGAGACAAGAGAGAGAGACAGAGAGACAGAGAGAGAGAGAGAGAGAGAGAGAGAGAGAGACAGAGAGAGAGAGAGAGAATGAGAATAAAAAGACATTCCCTGACCTCAAGTAGCTCATAATCTGATGGGAGAGACAACAAGCAAATAAGTATGTACAAATCATCTATTTACTGGGAAAATAGCAAATAATTAGGAGAGGCAAGGCACTAGAATTCAGAGGAATGGAGAAAAGCTTCCTGCAGAAGATGGTATTTAACAGGAACTTAAAAGAAGCCAAGAGGTGGAGATGAGGAAAGGAGAGTGCTACAAAGCCAAGATATGTAGCATCTTATTTGTGGAATAGCCAGGAGGGCCTATGTCACTGAATTGAACAGTATGGAGCAGGGTGTAAAGTGTAAGATTGGAAAGGTAAGAAATGACTAAGTTATGAGAGACTTTGAACGCCAGACTGAGGATTTTGCATTTGATCCTAGAAACGATAGACAACCACTAGAGTTTACTGAGTGGGGGGTGGGGGATTAATGGGATAGATAGATACCTCTCTCCATCAACATTCACTGGCTATAACCTGAGTGAGAGTGGAGAGCTGTCTTGGTTTTTTGACTGACATTCAAAGCTGTGCTCAAAATACTCAACTTCCAGGTGTCCTGGTGGATCATCATATTGCACTGTAAACCTTTCTGGGAACCTTTAGAACCTGGCAAAGGATGTTATAGGATGCAGATCACTATTTGACCTTTCTGAAGTGTGGAGTGTGGTGAGATATGCTTTCCATTAGGAAGAGGTGATTAATCGAAGAATCAATTATGGCATCCCCATCACCGAGCTTTGTCAGATTTCTAAGAAGCAAGAGGAAGATCTGGGTTCAAGTCCCATGTCTGAGACATACTGGCTGTGCAAGTCATTTAACTCCTCAGGGCTCTAGACCAGTGGTATCAAACTCAAATAGAAACAAGACCATTAAACTGTACATAAGGATCTGTGGGGGTCTGCAATTTGACTTAAGAGTATCACAGATTAATATTATCTATGTTCTATTTTTATTTATTATGTTAAATATTTCCCAATTACATTTTAATCTGGTTTGGACACTCAGGAGTACTATGGCCACATGTTTGACCCCTCTGCTCTATATAGTTATTTCCTTCTCTTCTTCCTCACACTTTTCCCTTCATCTTCTTTCTCTATCTTCTTCTCTTCCTTTTTTTCTTTATTTTCTCTTTCTCATCCCTCCTTAATTCATCCCACATGTAAAATTGTCCTAAACCACCCAAATAAATTTCTTCATGAGTTTTCTTCCCAACCTACCATAGATTTGGAAGAAAATTTTAAAATTACATAGTTCAACATCCTTATTTTACAGATGAGACAACAGAGACCCAGAGAAGAGAAGGGACTTGTCCAGAAACAAAGATTCTTAGTAGCAAAACCCAGGTATCCTGCATCCTCATCTAGTGGTTTTTCCACTATACCACATTGATTCCTACATTCCTTTGAAAGAGATATAAGCTTTCCCCACCCTTTTAAGCTTAGTAGAAACAGCTCTCCTATAGCTCATGATATACTGCATCAATATTATCTATGACAAGGGTTCTGAACCTTTTTTTGTGACATAGACCCCTTTGATAATCTAGTGAAGTCCATCAATCCCATCTCAGAATCATGTTTTTATTTAAAATTCACGACTGAAGAAACTGCTAAATTAGAGTTAGATGTTAGTAAAAATAAAGATGTAAATTTTTTTCCAATCCAAGTTCAAATAAACCTGTTAATAAGTATAACAATAATAGTAATGGAACATATTTAACCTCGATATTAGGAAGAATTTCCCAATGATTAAATATATCCTAAAGTAGAAAGGGCTCTTAATGTAATAGTGAGTTCCCCAACACTAGAGGCAATTGGAGGCTGACTACATTTTCGGGCTTGTTTGGAGCGCAATAATATACAAGATCCCTTCCAGCTCTAGGATTCTATATGTTTATATTCTTTTACCTACTACATGTTCCCTTCCCCCATCTAAATTTCTCTGCCTACCTCCTTCTCCCTCTTTCTATAAAAATCCCTTCCATCTTATATTTTCTATTCATTTCCAGCTCTTATGAGTACCACAGGAGATTATGGGCATCTCTCTAGACACACCATGTTTCTTTTTCCTGCAATAATTACTTGTTCTGTGAAATATAATTTGA